GTCACTTGCTGGCTGTGCGTCCAGTTAGCGATGGGCTACAGACTGGTAGGCCTCAATCACCCTTAATCGTCGAGAATGGTCACGTGCTGACTAAATACTAAGACGTACCCGTATCGGAGACCTCTATGTTGCAGCGTTAGCCGTCTCTGTAGGAAACGGGCTCTCTAGCAAAAGCTATTTTGTCTACAGAAATTAGTTACTGTGGAGCATATTGCTACCAGCCATGGCAACCACGTAAGCTCAGTTACGAACCAATTTCAGCGTGCCTTTAAGCAAGAGAGCCTATAAACGTAAAATTTAGGTGAAAACGAACTTATGGGACACCCTGTAGATATCCACACCAATCTCACGTGCTTTTAAGCATTTTTGGGATGTTTCGGTTGGATTCAGGTTCAGTCCGAGCTCAGTCTGGGTTTCGGTGGTTTTGCCCGGTGTGTGCCCTCAGTTCCGTTCATCGAATTCTGGCCCAAGGCAACGCAAGAGCGCTGCCGGCATCTAGTAATTAAGACATGTTTTCCCATCCTGAGGCTCTTAAATGAATGCTTCGAGCAAAATGGATGCCAGAATCGTGATCAGCGGCTACGAAATCATCACAAAGGACTTTTCATGTGTGAAAGTCAACCAAAGGTCATTCGAGGCAGGGGCCCGGGAACGATTTTGAAGTTGGGGGGCGAGCCTAAAATACCTGACATGATGCATATGAAACAGTGGCATAGCTAGGGGTCTAGGGGGACACGTACCGCCCCCCCATCGGGTTCAAAGGGACCCTCGGGTCCGAGGGGCCCTGCGGCGCCATTTGACCGCTGAAGGTTAACGATGGCCATATTACTACTCAGAAGGGCCCATTGAGCTCGTTAGATCACCTCATGGGCCCTAAATAACCACACTAAGATCTCCATAAGGGTCCCACGCCAGCTTCTGAGGGCCTCTTGCGGCTTTTAAGGGCACCTCGGTGGTCTCCAAAGGCCCGTTACTGGCCTCTGAGAGGTCTTACTGGCTTATGAGAGGCCAGTTCTAGGGGCATTTCCCGCCTGTAATGGTCCCACACTTATTTTTCTGAGGGCCCCATAACGGCAACTGTGGGGCCCTCGTCGGCGCCTATGAGGGCCCACACCGGTGTCTCTGAGGGTTTCACACCCCCAACTCTGAGTGCCTACATGACCATTGCCTATTAAAGCCCTATATCGGCGGCTCTGAGGACCCAACCAACACCTGCGCATCTAAAGGCCACCCACTGGTGACTTTTGAGGGCCCCACACCGGTGACTCTGAGGGCCCCACCGGCGTCTGACAGTACCATGCTGGTCTCTAAGGACCCCACAGGACTTCTTCCGCCGGCCTAAGGACCCCTTGCTGGTCACTGATACCCCCTGCCGGCTTGTAGAGAGTTCGCGTCAGCAGCTCTAAAGGCCCCACATCCGTCTGTAACGGCTCCACACCAGCGTCTATGAGGGCCCACATCAACGCCTGTAAGGACCCTCATCGGCGCCTCTGAGAGAATCTATATACTGCACCTCTGAGCGCCCACACCGGCACCTGCATGACAGCCCCACACCGGTGCCTCTAAAGGCCCCTTACCGGCGGCTCTGAGGGCCCTAGGCCGGTGATTCTGAGGGTGCTACCGAAAACCGAAGGCACCACACAAGCCCTTGGTGTCGCTGAGCTTTAATCCCATACCGGTCCTCCGAGGGGCCATGTCAGTGCACTCATTGCCCCACGCCCCTCCCTCACACCCGGAACTAGGTTATAACTATAGCAACGATTTTACCACCGTTGTACGTTAGGTATGTATTTAATCTCAAAGTTGACTCAAAATGGTCCAGTATAAAATCTGGCCTGCCAAACTTATGGCCAAGGTCATGCCCAAATCAAAGCGGGATGACAACAGCAGATGTTGTTAAATCGATACTGTATCAGCAGAAACCATTCAGATGGCAAGGAACATGCCGTGTGTTGATGTTAAGATGTATAAAGGAAACGAGAAGGAAAGAAGTCCGGAAAAGGGAGGAAATATCTTTTCTCGCTGCCTCAATGTTGAGGGGGCGCCGCCCCCTCGGCTCCCAAGTTGGGGGGGAGGGGGCAAGCGCCCCCGCTGCCCCCCCCCCTGTTCCCGGATCTATAAATTTCGAGATCACATGAGAACCATAATAATTTTGAATGGCAACATCTAGGGGCAAGGTGCTCATGGATTTTGCAGATTGGCGTATCAGACAACAGTCGGGTCACCTCAAGCTTGCCCCCACTGGCAAAAATTCGTGGCGCCGCCACTGGGTGGCGCTTTCTAGGAGTTGAAATATCTCCAAATTTATTGCCAGCATATTTCGCCTTGATTTACAAATATAGTAACTTGGTTGTACCTACACTTTTTTGTATGGCTACGTAAGTAAAATTAGCATCAAACAACATCGCACTGGCTTCCAGTTGATGAAACAATTTCCTCGATGATATAATTCAAAGACATTTTAGAAAAAGTAAAAACGTCCGTTTTTCGGGAACTCCCGGTACAAATCGACAAAAGTGCAAATTCGGGTATAGGTATTCGAACACGACTCTATCAACCGATAACCAGCAGTACCTAACAATCGATAACAATGTCCCGAAACTGGGATGAATCTGAGCTTGAACCTAAAAGCGTCGATTTTTTCAACGTCTAATGCTACTGAAGCCAAACGAGGTCACTTAATTCGCTAGAAGTTTGCAAGCCACTTATACAGAAAAAAAAACACTTATGTTTATCAACTGATGTGCTATCGATTGCAATTATTCCTAGTTCGTGCATTCAAGAGTTGCTATGCAAGTGTATTTTCGACATGGTCTGCCAATGACCTTATAGACCATCGCATGGCATTTAGAGATAAAATTCAAAGCGAAGGAATTACGTAGGGCAATGGCATGGTGCATGTCGTACAGAGTCATTTTCAGTGCTTTAGCTCTACTGGGCGAGAAAAAAATGCACCGATTTGGGAACGTGACCTTTGTTCGCCTCTTGCAGGTCAAACGGCTAGATGATTTGAATAATTTACGAAAGTACACACTTTCTACCCCAAGGGCTCCATGGTTTGCGAGTTTCGAGTCGATCCGAGGTAGGTAGCTGAATCTGGATTAAATATTTGCTGTGTTAACTGTTAACGGATATCAAATATCGATTGACTGACTTCTGAGATAATATTGCGAAGCATAGCTCTTGCAACCCGACCATCCATCGGCGATTATTGCCGACTAGACCGTTGGTGTCGTTTTTATGCGATGCCCTTGAAGGCGCAAGGGATGGGCATGGCGACGGGTGGTTGCCAAATTACCGATAATTCAATAAACACATACCTACTAAAGCGCATTTAATATTGTTTACAAATTACAAAATAGCATTGATAGATTTGGAAGACACGAAGGACACGCCAGCTGCATACGAGTATATATAATTACCTGTAAGGAAAGGAACACAATTTCATCAACTTCAAGTGTTATAAAAGGGACAAATTAAGTTTCCGTTAACCCTCGCCGGCACAGGCCATTTTACGTCCTTCGACGGCACAACGGGGGGTTGGTACGACCCCCCTCGCGTTTGGCCCCTGATCGAGCTAGAGCTTCGCGGAAAAAACGAGCGTGTTGCCCGTCACGAGAGGAAGCCGATGACACCCAATTTTAAGGTCCTAGGTTATCGGGTGACCTTCCAGGTCAGGTCAACACTGAAAAAAATAATGACACCTAAAAGGGGTGTTTTTTGAAGCGTACCAAAAACGCGCAGTTTTCTGGAGTCCGATTACACCCGAAATCAGACACTTTCTAGGGTATTATGACACTGGTTGAGGGTGTATTTTTACACCGTACGTCGTCAAATGATTCCCGGAATCATACGCCTTATGGAATAAAAATACACCCCAGGTCAACCGGTAGGGGTTGTGACGGGTATTCGTAATACGTGTCAACCGCCTGTGACAGCTTCGTAACATGTTACGAAGGCACCAAAACTACTTCGTAAATGTTCAAATGGTTGCTAAATTCGAATTCAGCTCCAAAAACTAGCCTAGAAACATGTAAAACTCGAAAAAGTGAACCGAGGTCACCCGAGGTCACCAAAGGTCAATGACCTGACCTGACCTTCAGGTGACCTTGACTCCCACCCTTATGTATGGGAGCAGCATCAAATCACATGTTTGAACGTTTGAAACCACGAAAAGCTTTCAAACGCGCGGCTAATGCGAGCCGACATACGCCGAATCGCGATTTCGGCCAAACATGGTCACGGAAAAGAGGTCACAGCCCACAGGTCAAAGGTCATTGGGGTCAGGGTCATGAAATTTTCAGGGAACGTGTAAAATTGATCAATGCGAGGGTACTGAAAGTTTCGTTGCGATCGGCCGCTTTTTACGCGAGTTATTCGCGAAAAACCTTAGGGGGGTTGCATCAACCCCCCCCCCCCCTGTGCCGGCGAGGGTTAATGAATGAGTGCGCCTAATTCGAAGTTTTTGTTCAACAGCATTAAAAGGCCGACCATTGCTGTCTTACCCTTATCTCCAGCTACTTCCTCTTGTCAACCATGGTAGTTGAGATGAGTAGAAGTAGGTACGTCAGTGAACACCACACCTACAGCTAATGAAATTCTTCTTTGATAATGTTGAGCATTATGGATAAATGTTAGTCTTCAATGTGTTGAAACTTTTATTTGAGGATGTGCTCAACACAAATGCGTAGTTGAATCACATAGCTAGAATATCACACATTCAGCTCCGCAGGAGAGCCGATGTTGTAGGCATTTTATGCCAAACATTTACACTGGCGACTGTCCTCCATAAACTTGTGTCTCCAACGCGTGCCGACCTAACTTCGGTCGTTGGTGCAGCCTACTTCGGCCTCCGTCGCTGACGCAGCCTGACGCGGCCTTATACCTTCAGCCACCGGCGCAGTCTACGTTCGGTCACTAGAGCGGTCTACTTTCGGTTACTGGTGTAATCTACCTTCGATCACCGGTGCAGCCAACGTTCGGCATCTGATGCAGCCTACCTTCGGTCACCGGCGCGTAGATATTGAGGTAGAGGCAGTCCTCGCTCTGCGGCGGCGCCGGCCCGGCCTGCCGGCGGCTGCCGGCCGCCGGCTCGCGCTGCGGACACCCGGCCGGCAGGCGAGTGGCGTTCAGCACCTCCGACTTGCGGATCGGTGTCTTGGGCGGCATGAAGCGGAGGTAGTCGACCGGCGGCGAGGCGTACGGCACGCCCAGGAACTGCATGACGCGCGGCAGTCGCACGTCGACCACCGGCGAGAGCAGGCCGCGCAGGGGGCCCACGCTGGTCTCCACCAGCTGGTCGCGCGCGAGGCCAGCGGCGGCCGCCACCACCAGCACCAGCAGGCCGGCCGTCCGCATGGCCGTCACATGGCTCAGCCTCAGCACCGCTCCCCGATCGCCCAGCGCAGCACCTCGCCTGCTCGCGGGGAGCTGGGACCGGCGGCGGACGGATGCCGGCCGGTCCTGGACACTGCCGGCCGGCAGAGCACGGGCCGACGCGGCCAGCACACTCCGGCACGTGCCGCGCGCTCAGCGGAGCCACACCTGCGCCGGCGAAACACGGCCGCACGTGGTGAACACTGGGGACGCGTCGCCGGCCGCCGCCCTCCCGAGACTCGTGGCTAAAATTAGCGCCCCTTGGCAGGCGCGCCGGCGGCCGGCAGCCACCGGACGAGCCGGGCCGGGAGACGGGCGCCCCTGCGGCGGCGACCGGCGCTCACCGGGATCTGTGGAGAGCGGCCGGATGACCGCAGTCACCGGCCTCCGGCGATCACAGCTCAGAGGTTCCAACAGCTGCTCCTCAGCGGACAGCAACAAATACGACATCTAATGCAACACGCTAGCATTTGTTATTATTAAATGAATAGCGTGATATCTTATACCAAAAGAAAACAACACGCACCATCAACCGACGAACCGAGGTGCCGTTTCTAGCGAGGAATGCTAAGAGACACCAGTGGCACGGTGTAAAGATCCGCTATCTAGACACTTGGCCATCGCACCATGTCGTAAGGTGGCCGACATTTTTAAACGGGCCAACATACTTGTCAGCTTGACATCGTTCTTCACGCATTTCGCATTTAAGGGAAATTTCGACGGAATTCGATGTGTTTTGGATGCTGACGAATCGACGAAACCAGAGCTCGCGCTATACTGAGCTCACTGCGCAGCGGCGGGCCGTGACCTCTATCGACCGATCGGAAATTCCGGGATGTCGAGGGAATTTAGATGGCAATGTTTCGCGTACTCACACATCCGTACATGGCCCGACCGAAGGATGCACGGTTCCAGCGGATGCACGCTATGGGGAGAAGGGTAAAGGGTAGAGTGAGGAGAGCGGTAGAGACGAAGGACCAGAGAAAGAGAGAGAGAGAGAGAGAGAGAGAGCCGCGCGCGCGCGGAGGGGAAGAGAGTGAAGGGAGAATTCTGCATGCCGGTCGTTATCCCGGCACCGCCTGGGCTATTTCCGTACCCACATCAGCCTGGGGGGGGGGGGGGTCGGATCCGACCCCCCCCTGTTATCTCGAGAACCAATGGTCGAATCGAGCCCCGCGAGGCGGCGTTCGAAAGGTCTCTACGAGACCTTCCCAAAGCACTCTTAAGATTTTAAGATTGAGGTCAAATTTCGGGTCAAGGTCAGGTCAAAGGTCAAATTCAGGGGTTTTGCATGATTAGGCTTACGGACAGCGGAATCGATAGCTGCTGCTCGAAACTCACCACAAATGACCTCAAAGACCTAGTGAAGGTACCATGTGCGTATAGGGGTCATACTAAGTACGGGTCAAGGTCAGGTCAGGTCACGAAAGGTCAAGGTTTTCACTTTCTGCTACATGGGCGTGCGACACATGTTTTATGGCTTATTTTTCTCGCCAAATCCGATGGTAATGGTTATATGTGACCCCAAGTCACTGTGCTGGTGATAAGTGTGCATTGAAAGTATAAAAAATCGTTTATACCATACATAACTAAACGAGGGCTAAGGTGTATTATCTAATAACAGTATACGGCCCCAATAGTAACAGAATGAGAGACCAGCTTGATTTCTTGAAAATGTTAGAAAATCAACTGATGGCTCTCCCAGAGACTTCCAGGTTGTTTATTTGCGGTGACTTCAACATGCACTTATCCCAGTTGGACACGTCTGCCTGTTTCACGACGAGTCAGGCGACGCAACAGCTGAGACAAATAATGGACAAATTCAATCTAGTAGATGTTTGGAGACGAATGTTTCCTGATGTCAAGGGATTCACCTGGCATCGAGATTGTAGCGAGCAAAGTCAGGGATCTCGTATAGATTACTTTTTTGTAAGTCAGGAGACGGTAGATAGCCAGGGAATCGCAAAGATAGAGATAAGACCCAGTATTAGGTCAGACCATAGCATGCTACTGTTAGGTGTGAATATAGTCTCGCAGCAGCGGGGTCCTGGGGTGTGGAGATTCAACAATAAGCTGCTGCAGAATGAAGATTTTTTAATTAGGGCCAGGGAAGAAATAGATATGGCTTCTAGAGGGCAGGGAGAATACCAAAACATCGAGGATGAGGGACTCCTAATGGAGGTGTTACTGGCAAGGATACGGACGGAAAGTATTATAATAGGGAAGAGAATTGCGAAGCAAAGGCATAGGGAAGAAAAAGCCCTACTGTCACAAATAGTTCGATGCATTATTCAGAACCAGCAGGAAGTTCATAGGCAGAGAGAATACGTAGAATATGTAGCACGGTGGGAGCGGATGCAGGAGCAAAAGGCCGAGAAGGCTATCTTATTCAGTCGAGCAAGGTGGACTGAGCGAGGAGAGAAGCCTACAGGCTACTTTTTGAGAATGCAGAAGAGGGATGCAGAAATGAAGGTGATAAGCAAGCTAGTTACTAGCAACGGGGTAGAAATCACAGATAGGAAGCAAATACTAAACGAATGCACGAGGCACTACAAGGATCTGTATGCAACGCAACCGAATGATGAGATGTTTAAAGAGAGTTTTCATCGTTTCATGGCAGATGTAGACAACCCAAAACTCTCAGACGCAGAGCGAGATAGCTGCGAGGGAGAGATCACACAGGAGGAATGTCTGCAAGCGTTAAAATCGATGGCTAATGGTAAAGTGCCCGGTCCGTCTGGTTTCACAAAGGAGTTCTTTGTCACCTTCTGGGATAGACTGGGCCATCTTACTGTAAAGTATATTAACCAGGCGTACAGACAAGGATTTTTCTTCGTCACTCAGCGACGAGGGTATATCTCTATTCTCCCCAAAAAAGGTGACCAAAGATACCTCAAGAACAAAAGACCGATCGTATTGTTGGATATTATTTACAAAATTGCAGCCAAAGTTATATCTATCAGAATAGGCAAAGTTATTAATGGGCTGGTATCTACGGATCAAACGGGCTTTTTGAAGGGAAGAAATATTGGAGATAATTTACGATTAATGAGCGATGTCCTTCACTATGCCAAAGGAGAGGGCGTCCCAGGCATAATTATGAACATGGACTACGCAAGTGCATTTGACTCCGTGGAACATGCGTTTCTTTTCCAAGCCTTAAAAGCATTCAGTTTCGGTGAGTCCCTAGTAAAATGGGTGAAACTCTTGTACAGCCGACCGGAGCTGACTGTGCTAAACAACGGTTACACTGCACAGCGGTTCGAACCGACTAGAGGAATAAAACAGGGTTGTCCCGTATCCGGGATGATATTTGTTCTGGCAGTGGAGCTGTTTGCTTGCAAGGTGAGAGCGTGTAAAGAGTTGAAAGGTATACGTATACACGGGAAAGAGTTGAAAATCTCGCAATACGCCGACGATACCACGATATTCGTCAATGATATGGACTCAGCTAGAAAAGCCTTGACACTAACAGAAGACTTTACTGACATATCAGGGCTTAGATTAAACCTGTCCAAATGTGACTTCGTGTGGATCGGCAGAAATAGAGGAAGTAAAGATAATATTTGCGGCAAAGTACCAAGCACTAAGTTTAAGTCGTTAGGCGTACTCTTCTCTACTGAGAATGAGTGTATAGAAGAAAATGTGCAGCCAAAAATACAGAAAATGCGGAACGTCATGAATATGTGGAAAGGGCGGCAAATGACAATTAAAGGCAGGATCACGCTGATTAAGTCGTTGCTAGCGTCACAATTAACGTATATCGCGACAGCCATTGTAATACCATCAACATACGTGAAGCTAATTGATAAAGAGGTAAGCTCATTTTTGTGGAATGGTAGATCCCCTAAGGTCAAGAAGGCGGTCCTGTGCCAGTCAATCGACCAAGGGGGATTGGGTGCCATTAATATGGATTGCTACCTTCGCAGTGTGCGGCTCATATGGCTTAAAAGGCTATTAGGAAATCCAGAACCGAAATGGCGGGCCATACTGCAGAAAGCGATAGGAAAAATTCAAATAAAGGATCTGTTACAAGGAGAGATGGACGAAGCAGGAATTAGAAAACTCAACTTACCAGAGTTCTACCATGGAATCATCGTAGAATACTATCGACTAAAACCAGATAGACTGGCAGATAACATCAATGACGTTATGAGGCAGCCGTTATGGTTCAATAGGCGAATACAAATTGACCATGAGGTAGTATTTTTTGCTGACATGTATCGCCAGGGAATAAAATACGTTGGCCAGCTAGAAAGTAACGGGACTTTATTAACGCACCTTGAATTCGCTCAGAAATATCCGGAGCTGAGGGTAAATCAGTACAGATTTTTGTGTTTACGGCAAGCTATACCGAGAGAATGGAAGGCTATATTGCGGATAAACAGAAATAACAGGATTCAAAATCGGTGGGACTGTGACGACCCTTTATCTGTCACAGTGGGGGAATCAGAAGTTGAACTGGAAAAAATGACGTGTAAACAATTCTACCTCACACAACTACCAAGGAATGTTGTACCCAGGGCTGCGGAGTCGATGGATTTTCGGCGACTCCGACTCCGACTCCGACTCCGGCTTTCAAAAACCAGCTCCGACTCCGACTCCGACTCCGGGCAGAATTGTCGACTCCGACCGACTCCAACTCCCGACTCCGACTCCGCAGACCTAGCAGGGCTGCGGAGTCGACAGATTTTCGGTGACTCCGACTCCGACTCCGGCTCGGGTTTCTAAAATCGACTCCGACTCCGACTCCGACTCCGCAGCCCTGGTTGTACCTTCATGTAGGATAAAATGGTCCTCTGAACACTTTGACTTTTCAGAGGCAAGATGGAGAGAACTATGCTGCCTACCATATAAGATCACTGCGTCGACAAAACTACAAGTTCTGCAGTACAGGGTGATCAATAGATATATTCCAACAAGAAAGTTTTTGTACGTCAGAAAGGTTGTTGAATCACCGGCATGCTTATACTGTGCAGAATAAGATAATATTTACCACTTTATGTACAATTGCAGAGAGACATTAACATTTTGGGATAGCATAATAGGGGACATAAATCAAAAGATGGGTACCAGGATACGCCTTACGGCAGAGCTAATCATATTTGGACAAACAAGAGTAGGAAAACTTGCAAATTACCTAGTG